GATCTCAGCGTTTGGGCTCTGCCAGGGGACAGCCAGGCCTGCCCATGGCACTCCCATTGCCAAAAGGCAAGAGGGTTAGTCCTGGGGTTTCCCAGCCCCAAGTCAGCTGCCTAAGTGCTCGGCCCTGCTCATGAAAGGGCCCCCTCTTCCTCTCCTTTCAGCCCTGAGCTCTAATTTATCCTCCCCTTTGATAACCAACTCCAAACACGTTCGGCCGAGGCCGGGCCATCAGTGCACAAAGGCCTGTGCTCTCCCGGCTGAATGAAGCACTTCACTCTTGGGGGCATTTCTATAGAAGGCAAAATCCACCAAACAAGCTATTACACTTAAATCAGACAATGCCCGAGGTGACGGCGAGGAGACCAGCGTTAATGACTCAGCTAGCAGCGGGCTTCTCTATTTGGAAGCTCTACCGCAGCATGGGAGGGCAACCTGCTGCCCTTCCCAGCCTCTCAGCCCTGTCCCTCTCCTTCTGCTCCCAGACTAGAAAGTCGACCCTCTGTCTGCTGGGTCTGTGAATCCTGAGGGCTGAGTCCCCTAGGCCCGCGTAGACTGACTCTTGGCTCCCTCTTTGCCCGGAAAAAGAACGGAGAAGTTAAGTCTGGCCTGCCCCCTTCCTCTCTCCTTTATTCCAAAGATGACAAAACCACAGTAATTGTGGAAAGTCACACGGTCGGCTGGCGGCAGAGCCCGAATTAGAACCCTTGTCTCTTGCCTCATACAATTCATACAACAAGCGACGTAATTAGAGAATAGGCAGAAAGCCCTTAGCATAGTTTCTGGCACATGAAAGCACTCACTAGATATTAGCCACTGTTATTTGTTATCATAGTAGTGGCATCATTTTTACAGATGTCGTTCAGCTACTCAAGAGTACCCGCCCTGAGCCAGACCATCTTCAGGGTGCTGGGCCTAATCCCTGACCATGGCACAGTCCCCCACGTTCTAATGGAAGATGCAAACCGCGATCCCAATACAGGGTAGTAAGTGACGGCACGGGGGGGAGTAAGGTGAGCTTTAGGGGCTCATAGGAAAGCACCTGCTAGAGACTGGGGGGCTCAGTGAAGAGCTCAAGCCTGAAGGATAATCTGGAGCTGGCCAGGTGAAGGGAGGTGACAATGGGGGAGTGGGGAAGTAGGGAGGTGTGTCCCTCTGGGACGAGGGGATCATTGAAAGTGCAAAGGCAAACGGGGGCTGCAAAGGTGAGGGAAGGCAGGATGCACTTAAGGAAGTGAAGACATGTCCGTGTGAGGGGACACCCGGGTGTGAGGTGCAGAGACAAGGCAGTGCAGGCGAGAAGGCGAACGTGGCGAGATGCTGCTCAAGTCAGGTCAGGAGTCCCAGGGGGAGCCGTGGGAAGGAGCCCGGACTGCAGCGAGGGGTAAGGGGACGATGCCAGCCCCACGCGTGGCGGAGATCACAGGACGTATTGTGGGGAGCAGGTGGGAGGGGAGCTGGCAGCAGGGAGACCAGTTAGCAGGCCAAGCCCCCGTTTAGCTTTGCTCCGTGTTCCATGTCAACACACTACACAGGCGTGATCTTGGGTCGCCAAATAAGCCCCCCCTAAAGAGGACTCGCGGAAGGGCAAATGATCCAAAAGAAGTGAGCTATGGCCACGGGAGCAGAGAAATTGGACAATGGCTTTCCCTGGCCACTTGGCTCATTACCCAACAAGCCTGGAGCACCACACAGTGACAGCGAGTTCTCCACCAACCAGATGTGTGACCTTGGGCAACCTCCATCTCCCCATCTGTACAGTGAGGACATTTACTAAGTAATTGGTAAACTGCCTTGCAGTTCTCCCATTCTGTGGGTCTATTATTTGAAATACATATCATATATTTTTATTCTCAGATGCCTTGCTTTGCATTTTAATGTTTATGAAAACAAGACAAAATGATTTGCATTTTATAATAGAGGTAACACAGCTCATCAAAATCAAGTGTCCTGCACAGTGATCTCAGACATTTCCTCTTCTGGGTTCTCATCGCTGAGCCCAAGAAAGGCCCAGCTTTGACGCTAGCCAGGGAAAGCTGGGTGGGAGCCGTGCTCCTGAGGCATCTGGCCTTTCCTGGCGGCCTGAGAACCGAGAACCGACCCGCCTTCTTCAGAAAATCCTCTGCCCCGGGGCCCTTTGCCCTGGGGAGTGAGGTTCTGCAAAGAAGCCATAATGCTCTTTCCCTGCCCAATAGCTCTGGCAGCTGCTAAGCTAAAGGACAAAGCTCCAAGGATTTTGGGCAAGTGAACAAAAAAACAAATTCAGGCTGGGGTGGGAGAAGAAAAGGCCACCTCAGAGCTGTTTTTTGGCGGAAAAGTGTTCCCCATCCTATAGCTTCAGGACACAAACAGCATAGCATCCAGAGGTGCACAGTGGCATGGAACAATTGAAAAATTGCCTTGTTGGACTACAACGTGCCAATTTTTCAAATCTAGAGCCATTTTCACTATTACAGTCTGTGCAGCCTAAGCCAGGAGAATTTTCTTCTGGGAGGGAAAATTGATTCCGAGGTTACCATTAACCCCCATTAGCACAGCACGCCCCATTCGAAAACTATTCTTGGGATCCAAGGGGGCCAGAGGAAGCTATAGAGGCCCATGGTGAGGCTGGTGCCCAACATCACAGGTGCCAACAGCCAAAGTCCATTAGCCCCATGTCTCAGAAGGGCAAGAGAGTGAGTGAGCTGGAGAGAGGCAGGGAGGGAGGGAGCATAGAAAGATCTGGGTGTGTGTTTCCCCCGGGAATTCCTAGGCTTTGGAAGTTAGCCTGCACACCTCATTTAACTGGGGTGGATTGGGAACTTGCATGAGCTGAATAGCAGGAGCTAAGGCTCACTGCCTAGACCCTCCTGATTTTGTCCTGCAGCCCTCACCTGTCACTGCCCTTTGTGACAGGGGCCAGAGCCTGGGAAGAGGAGTGTTCTCCAGGGAGCCAGCTGGGAGGTACCCATCCCATCCCCATTCCTTGTGCCCAGCCGCTCAGGGCACGGGTCTTTGCAGACACACCACTATAAGGCAGCTGGCTCTGTCTGCCCGAGGTGCCCCATATGGAAAATCACTCCAAGCCGGTCAAGAGCCTCAGTCACGGGGTGTGCTGTGTATCCATCTTTCCAAACATAGAGCAAAACCTACCAGCCCAGCAGAGAAAGCGGTGGTGCAGAGGCTGCTGCAAAGCCAAGAGACAAAGACAACTGTGTGCGGACAAAGGGGAACAGCAGGAGAGTAGCACATTCACTGATCTCTCGCGCGTGTCATTTGTTTCACATGCTGATGGGCAGTGGGCACTGGTGCTGGATCCAGCTCTGCCACTTGACCTTGGATAAGTTACTTGCGTGCTCTGGGTCTCTTGTTTCTTCTTCTATAGCCTGGAAGTAAAAATAACCGCCTGGCCAAGTTGTCAATGTTGAATGCGACAATACGGGAAAGGAGTGGTTCTAGAACAGGTGCTCCACAAAAATACCTATGCATATAGATGTATGTCTAGGCAACAAATGAGTGTATACACATACATCCATGTATGTGTGTATAAGGAACAAAGGAAGCCCACCATCCACTCTAGAACATCTCTGTTGTTCTCAGAATGGCATCACTTTATTCTTCTCAGAAGAGTTTGCTTCAGAGTTTTGTGGCTACATGGCTGACCAGCTTTGTACTTCAGAAGTTCCTTTTCTTCCCTCCCGCCCCCATCCCTGCCCCTCCTCCACTACTACCATTAAGCCATCCCTCCTCCCCCATCCCTCTGTACACATGCCATCTGCTCATATCACTGTCCTCTCCTCCCTGGAGTGACCAGTCTACGGGAAGAGCCTTGCCAGGGAGGGCCTCGTTGGCGCTGGCCGTACTGGAGAGAGGAAAGCGCTCCCTGACATCATGGCTTCCTCCGTTCCCCAAACACCGGGAGCATCTACCACGGGGTAGGCTCTGTGCCAGGCGCTGGGGATACCAGATGCGCAAGATCCAGTCCAGTCCTGGCCCTCCAGGGTATCCGGGAAGATGAGGCACCAGACCCGTAGGCAGCTCATCACCACCCTACCACAGTGAGTGCAGGACAGGTGCACAGGGAGGAGGAGTGGACGGGACAGAGAGGCATCACACACAAGGAGGACCCAGGAGGGTGTCCCCAGGGGTGGGCATCCGCCCTGTGGTTGCTTCTGTTCCCTGCAGACCCGGGGGAGTTGACCTCTCTGGGTCGTCTGGTGATTTGTGAGGGAGGGGAGGGGAGCACTCCGGGCTAAGTGCTGACGGGACGTCCCTGTCAACACAATGTTCCGCCTGGCCGGGCCTTCATATATAAAGATATTTAATGAATTAGTTAATTAATGAGAGGCGTTTGATTGATAGATCATATGGCGCTCGCAGCAGGGTGAGTCTGACCCTCGATATCGCCGCCTGGGCTGCAATCCGTCCCCCTCATCGGTCGGGAGAGCGCGGTCGCTCTAGCAATTTGCATGCATTTAATGTAGCTCTTTAATAGGATGTAATGTTAGCGAAAGCCAAAAGCGCAGCAGCTGTAACTTAAAAGACAGCCCCATTACTGCAAGCCTTATAATTAGGGTAAGAGGGAGACTCGGTCTGCCATATGTTAAACTCTTTTGAGGTTAATAGCTCTGTAAGATTTTTGCAATTTAAAAAAATTACACTTGAAGGATGATGACAAGGCTCATCAATGAGGCGCCTCTCCACCGGAGGCAAGGGACAGGAGGATCCCATGTCCCTCCAAGGCCTCTTCCTCGGGCCGTGGCGAGGTGGCCCCTCTCCTGCCCCAAGTCGCTCCTGTCCCCACCAGCTTCTCCCAGCCGGGCCCCAGTAGCGCAAAGCTGCCGTCTCCGCTCCGCGCAGCCCGAGCTCGCCGGACCTGGCCGCGCAGGACGCCCCGCAGACCACCCCCCCACCCCACCCCCACCCCCGCTCTCGCAGGCCCAGCATCCTGCCGGCCGGGGACGTTTGGGGGCCCGCGCGCGGTGCGCACCCAGGGCCGGGAGGCGCGCGCGGCGAGGGCTTACCTTGCGCAGACCGGGGCAACTCCAGAGCAATTAAGGGGCCCCGCAGGTTACCTGCGCTGGTGGCGCAGCCGGGGCCCGAATCAGGGAACGCGCAGCAGGCACTGCCGCGGGGGAGGGGAGGAGATCGCCCGGAATTTGCTTGGTAATTACCTGGCACAAGGCCTCAGGGGTGTCTGCCTCCTCTGTGCCCCGACCCTCGAGGAGGGAGGGGGGCTGGGAGGGGCGGACCGCTGGGCCCTGGAGCGCTGCCCGCTGCACCCCGGCAGCAACGTGGAACGGGACGGCCTCCCTCCCGCTCAAGAGTCCCGCATGAGCCCGGCCGCACCCTCCCAGGTCTGGAGTCTGCCCCAGAGTCCTTTTCCAGCCGCCCGGGGGGCATCGCGTGGGGAGGGGGGCGCGCAGGCACGGGGACTAGAGACCAGAGCCGGCCTCTGCGGACCGCAGTAGCCTCCTCCCGCTGGATCCCCTCCGACAGCCTGTGCCCGGCGGGGCGCCGAGGAGAGCTGCCCCCACCGCGGAATCTCTCCCCCAGGCGGTCTGCCTCCCGCATCTCTCCCCTCTCCCTGGCTTCCTCGCTGAGCGCGTGGGTGTCTGACCAAATTCCTGATGACAGACACTCCAGACAAAACAACACGAGGTGGGGGCGGGGAGGGGGGAGGAAGAAATCCCTTTTATTTTTTTAGAGGGGGCTCTTGTTAAAAGGAAATCACAGGAGCGATAAAATTACCGCTAATTGCACGATTATCTGATTATCTCTGGTACCAAAAATACATGAAATCCTTTTCCTTTCCCAGCCGCTTAAAGAATTCTCAGGGACATCCCTTGGGGAGGGACACAGATATCTCTCTTGCCCAAACCTGGAAAGCCCAAAGAGAAAAGGGGTCGTGCGGATGGTGGGGGGAGCACAGAGAAGATTCTGGAAGGCAAAAGTCCATCCCCAGAGAGGAGGAGAAAAAGTTTAGGGCAGGATGGGGAAGAAATGGAGGGGTGGGGAGACGTCACAGAAGATAACAAGAGTGTGCCTTCCAGTGACTTATGTCAGAGCTAACAAGGCTTAAGAAAGATGAGACCCATAGAGATTAGGTCCCTTGTCCAAGGTCTTGGAGCTGGCAGGTGTGGAGGGATGGCTGCGGGTGGGCACCTGCAGGGGAGTGGGGAGCTAGCTCTCCAAACCCTTGAGACCCTCATTGCCTTTTTGGGACAGAAATTACTGGCGGGTTTCAGTGACTCAGGCAGAAAATTGTTGTTTGTGTTATAAATCTTGATTGGAAATGCTTCTCATTGGTACCTGCTAAAAGTGAACACAGCGGCAATAGCTAACTTTCACGAGTGCTTTATGGTTGACAAAGCGTCTCCCCATCTGCTTCCTCACATAATTCTCTCACCTACCCTGTTCTGTGGGAATCCCCATTTTCCAATAGGCTAACCAAGACTCAGACAATGTAGAGAACTCCCCGGAAGCCTCACAAGCTGTCATTGGAACACCTAAGGCCCCAGGCCACTGTCTTCACACCGAATCTTCCAGCCTTTCTTGGGGACACCAAGTCCTCCTGGGACTGAGGACATGTAAATAAGGTGTTGAAGCTAGGTTTCATTTCTTCTTTGCATTCCCTTTTTTTTTTTTTTTTTTTTGGTTTCAGACCAGGAACCTATAAATCAGGAAAAGGAAACAGCCTCGTGACGTTGTGGATACGCACAACATAAGTAGAAGGTGTTGTAATCTTTTTTCTTTTAATCTTTTTTTTTTTAATTGCAGTATAGTTGACACACAATGTTACATTAGTTTCAGGTGTACGACATAGCGATTCGATACCCTCACTGTGTTTTCAAGTCAATGGCGCAGGTGCTCTCTCCACTTGGATGGCGCCCAGTCATCCGGAGCTATTTTCCCACGGGACGGGACTAGACTTGGCACACCAGCCTGAAATATCACTGTCAGGTCACCAACAGTGCCCCCGCTCCTTGATGGGAAAAGGCACTGGCAGGTCGTGGACAGAGAGCCCACTTCTTGTAACCTTCCCCGCCTCCACCTTGTCAACCAGTCCGGAGAAGGAGGGAGACCCTTCCTCTTGTTCCCCAGCCTCTCTGCTGCCCCGAGCCAGGGAAGAGGTTCGGAGGTCCCCAAGAACCCTGGGAGTGCCGTGCAGAGCTGAGGGCCACTGCAAATTCCCCGAGACTCTTTGGCAGTCACGGCCATCCCTCCATAATCACCCCATCCTCACCACTCGCTCCCCCACGGAGCACGGATGGCTGCTTCAGAATTACCATCCACAGATCAATCTCAGGGCAATTACTAGGCCTTGCATCAGCCAGCAGGGCCTCGCTCTGGAGGCGCGTGGGGATGCATGCGGAAACATAGGTTCCCTTTATTAGGGTGACCGGGCTCCAAGTGAGACCGGAGCAAGGCTGGGGATTCCTGGGACTGGGGGCTGGCAGGTGTTCACAGAGGCATGGCTTTGAACTGAGGAAGAGTGCGGAAGAGAAGAGATGAAGAGGGCCTCTCTGAGGCTGACCCCGGGCCACCCATGCAACCAGCTCCCAGGATCCTCTCCCCCTACGCACAGCCCATTTGAGAAAAGTGAATGAAAAGCCAACAAACTGAGTTTTTCCCATCAACTGCCTTTCGATAGAAGGGCCCGGGGGCTGAGGGGTCAGTCTGCAGTCAAGCAGGCTTGGGAGACCAGAACATGCAAAGGACTCAAGCGTCGGCTGACTCTTGTAAAGCCCTGGTCTGTAAGGAAGCCCCTTTCCCCTGAGACCAAACCCTCCGTTTATTCATCAAGTGTGGTCCCTAAGATACGGATGCTGAGGAGTAAAGATGAGTTGGACTTACCCTGCTAGCAGTTTAAAGTCTTGTGGGAGAGGCACAGAGCTGCTCCACTTGGAGAACATCAGATGTCTCCACATTCAACAGCCTCAAACCATCGCGGGAGAGGACTCGGAGGCTGAGAGTGAACTGCCTTGACTGAGGTTTCACAACTTGCTGGTGGAGGGGTCCCGGCTGGAACCTGGTGTCCTGACTCCTGGTCCTGACCCCTCCTCCTCCCAGGCAGAATTAAGTGGCAGCCGGCTGTGTGCCTTAGCTCTGCCAGAGTGGCTCACCTCCCTGACTTTCGTCCAGCACCTGCCACCTCCCCTGGCCACCCTCCTCACCTGCTTCGTTCTCCCAGCTTAAGACGCATGACTGAGCAACGACTCGTCCGTCCTTCCTGCCCAACCGAAGGCTGGGTGTTTCACTGCTACCCAGCCAAGAAGTTGATCGTGTTTAAGTGACTCCATTTAAAAAGAAATTTCCTCAACATCATCTGTTCTCAGGCAGGAGAGCCTCGGCCAGGACAGGACACAGAGGGACTAGGGACAGGAGGAATGGGGGACACACGTTGGGAAGAAGGGTGGCGGACCACAGCCGGAATTGTCTCCTGGTCAACTAAGGGGATGCATTTTGTATTCTGCTCTCTTTTTCTTTTTTTTAATTTTTTTTTTAATCTTTATTTATTGTTGAGAGAGAGAGAGAGTGTGAGCAGGGAGGAGCAGAGAGAGAGGGAGACACAGAATCTGAAGCAGGCTCCAGGCCCAGAGCTGTCAGCACAGAACCCGACACGGGGCTCGAACCCACAAACCGCGAGATCATGACCTGAGCCGAAGTCAGACGCTTAACTGACTGAGCCACCCAGGTGCCCCTGTTCTCTTTTGCAGCGAGGATGCGGCTGTTCTTCTGCCATGCCAGACAGTCTCCTGCCCCAGGGCCTTTGCACTGGCCTGGACTTTCCCAGATATGAACACAACTCACTCCTTCACTTGCTTTAAGTCTTTGCCCCAAAGGGGTCATGTCAACCGTGACCTCCCCTGACCCCCCCCCACTTGGCACTGTAATACCCCCTCCAGCATTTTCGCCATCCCCTCACCCCCCTCCTCAGTTCTCCTTAACGCTTAATGACGTCTAGCTTATTGTATAACCTGGTTATTCATCACATTCTGTGTGGGCTTCACCTCTGCTGGCAATAGACAGCAAGTGTCAAAAGGGCAAGGATTTCCCGTGTTTTGTTCACAGTAACTAGGGACGCTACTTAGCACATGGGAGACAGCTCGATAAATAATGGGCAAAGGAGGGACTTAAGGAAAACATCAAGAGTCTTCAAACAGGCAAGCTGAGAGAGGCCTTGAAGTCCAGTTCATCCCAGACCATCCATTTGTGGGTGAGGAAGACGGAACCTGCAGCAGGTGAAGGGTTTCAAGCAGGTGATTTAGGCTACGCCTTTTTTCCTTTTTTCTCGTGTTCCTCTACTTCAGCGCTTCTGTTTTGTGCCTGTGCTTATTCATTCTTCACTTATCCATTCCAAAAAGATTTATTGGACACTCACTACTTGCTAAACACTGTGCGAAAAATAATAATATTTGACACATATCGATCCCTCTGGGCCACTTATCTCAACTGAACAACCCTCAAAGCTTCTTACTGTCATTATCCCCATTGGACAGATGACAAAATTAAGGATGAGACAGGTTAAGTGACCTGCCCGGTCATACACTAGAAAATGGAGGAGGTGAGACACATACCCGTTTGACTCCACATTTTTGTGTTGTGCCACTCTCTTTCCCACGCGTGCCCCCCCACCCCTTTTTCTTTTTTCTTCCTCTCTTGGGCTAGACTGAATGGCCCAACCAAGGTGGCAGGAGACTCCTCCAAGGTCACGCAGAGCTGGAGCCCATTTGAGGCAGCACATTCCTGCTGCTCCAAATACCCCCCGAAGCCACTTGTCCCCGCACCATCTGCACACCCTCGTCTTGCCGGCCCCGCACTCTGAGCCCCACGTGCAGGCTCCGGTGTGATTCACAGCACCGAGATCGGTCCCTGGGAAGGAAAGAGGGCTCATAAAACCTTACGGCAGTTTTATAACGTATTCTTAGCTTTTACAGGCGAGCTGGGCGGCCAAGGCTGGCGAACAGCAAAGTGTCTTTGGGCAGATGGGCGGGCCCCATGGACCCAGAACTGGTGAGAACAGCTGCAAGTTTTCTGTGAAGACAGCATCATCTTTTAGCTGCCTGGATGGGGAAGGGCGGTGCAGGAAGTGGCCATTTAAGCAGCCATTTCTTCAGCTCTGTCTAGTTTTAAAGCGCACTTGGACATTTAATGCCCACCCAGTAAAGCAGGTATCACTTGAGACTCACAGATGAGGAGCCCTGGACGCAAAGGTTGCATAGACCATTTGGTGGCAGGTCTAGGACTCTTACTCCAGCTTCCCTTCCTGAATCCGGATCTGATTCTCTGCTCCTGGGATCACCTGGCATGGCATAAGTCTCTGTGCTACTTCTGCCCGCAGAGACAGGTCCCAGACAGTCACCTGTCATGAGGTCTGAGCCCAGCTCCATCAGCAGGATATCCGTGAGCAAACCTCCAGTAAATTTCTGCTGCCGACAGCCACGCGTTGGGGATTTCTCAGCCATGTCTGTGCCCCCGGAG